TATCTTAGCTATGGTAAATAATGCTGCAATAAACATAGTTGTGCTGGTAGCTTTAGTATGGTCTTGTTTGTGATCATTTGGGTAAATGCCAAAAAGTGGGATTCCTAGGTCATAAAGGAGCTCTATGTGGAGTCTTTTGAGGAAGCACCATACTACTTTCCAGAGTGGTTGGACAAGTTTACATTCCCACCAACAATGCAGTAGGGTTCCCTTCTGTCCACATCTCCTCCAGCATCTCTTGTTATTAGATTTCTTGATTGTAGCCCTTCTAACTGGGGTAAGGCAGTATCTCAATGTTCTTTTGGTTTGCATTTCTTTTATGGATAGACAGTTTGAGCATATCTTCATGTGCCATTCTTATTTCCTCTTCAGAGAAGTTATTTATTGGGCAGTTGTTTCTTTGAGGATTTGTTGTTGTGGATTTCATATTTTGAGTTCCAGGTATATTTTAGATCTGAGACCCTGACAAGCTCTACTGTCCCCTATCCTGAACATGAAATCCTTATTTTTCCCCTTAACCCTCCATTTCAGGACTACTTACTTGGAATTTTAAGAAACTCAAGAAAAGCAGGTCCTCTCTGGTCATATGTACATAGCTTTTGACCTTGTCTGCTTATCCCAGACATATACTAATTATTGTAAATAAGGGAAACCGTGGGAACTATGATTCTTTGGCCCTGGCTTACTTCACTTAATATAATTTTTCCCAAGTCTTTCCATTTACTAGCAAATGGGGTAAAAATTCTTTCTGATGGATGCAAAGAATTCCATTGTAAGCTATGTACATATGACCAGATAAGATGATGTTAAGCGAAACGAACCCAAAGATAGGGGCACAAGTGTTTTTTCTTTTCTTTCTTGCTATTGTTTCTAACATATTAATAATGTACTATGTGATTTTTTTGTTTCTTTGTATGTTTTTCCCCATGGTTATAACCCCTGTTTTCGCTGTATTTGATATTGGTGCCCTGAATCTTGTATGTACACTTCTCTAATTTGGGGAGGGGAAGGGAAAAAACAAAATGCTTAAATAGGGATACAGGATGACCCATTGTATTGAGATGCACAAGACATTTTGTTGAAAAACGAATTTTACAATTTAGGCAGTGGGAGACGGAGTGTAGTTGTGGAGGTGAGAGGGAAGGGATGGTAAGGGAAAAACAAAGGAGGAGGCAAAAATGCTTGATAGAAAATGTACCTGTTACCTTGCTCATGTAACTGTAATCCCTCTGTATAGTATTTTTACAATTAAAAAACTTATAAATTTTTCCCTGTCTTTCCATTTCCTAACAAATGGGGCAAAGTCATTCTTTCTGATAGAGGCATACAATTCCATTGTGTATATATACCACATTTTCTTGATCCATTCATCTACTGAGGGGCAGAAAAGCAAAGCACATCCTCACCCTTGAAGGCTTCAAGAGATCTATCCATTGTGCAGTAGAATGGCTATGACTTGTGCTGTCTGCGTGAATCATGTATCCTGGTCTAAACTAAAACACTAGGGCAATATAGACCTGCGATGATTTTCTAAGATGAGCCAACCTGAGATGATTCCAACTTTGACAACCTTGCTGATTTGCATAGGCTTACATCATAACCTACTGCCCCAATGACATCATAATATGCTGCTGACACTCTGTGTAACAGTGGGTCCCAGGCACCACATAGCATGGGAATGAGGATCCCTGCTCAGCTCCTGGGGCTCCTGCTGCTCTGGCTCCCGGGTAATGAAGGACAATACTTCTCCTAACCTGTGTTTTCAGTGCTGCCTGTGTCTTCAGGAAAATCCTCCTAAAACATGACTAACAGTGTGGATATTTGCTTGCATGTTTCCAATGCCAGGTACCATCCAGATGTGACATCCAGATGACCCAGTCTCCATCCTTCCTTGCTGCATCTTTAAGAGACAAAGTCACCATCACCTGCCAAGCCAGTCAGGGTATTAGCAATTATTTAGCCTGGTATCAGCAGAAACCAGGGAAAGCTCCTAAACTCCTGATAAAGTCTACATCCAGTTTGACCTCTGGGGTCCCATCCAGGTTCAGTGGCAGTGGGTGGGGGAGGATTATTCTCTCACCTTCAGCAGCCTGTGGCCTGAAGATGTTGCCACTTAATACTGTCAACAGTATCACAGTTCCCCTACCACAGTGATAGGAGCCATAACATAATTCTCTCAGGGAAACAAGTGAGAGGCTGGCTCCTCGGGGTGCCTACACCTGTGGATAGAGCTTCTCAGATGCAACCTGTGCACGAACGTTACTACAAGCTTTTGGTTGGAGTTTCCATGAGGCTCCTCTGTGCTCTCTATATCTTTCCTTCCTTTAAGCCACTGAAGCCCAGACATAGCCATCACTTCTCATATAAACTCATCAGATGGAATTCACACAGTAAAACAGACAGTCAAGATTCTTCAAGCAGGATTTGTTTTAATAATGGAAACAAGTCTGATCTCTGGCTTTAGAAGTTCTCAGATGGCCAGAGAAGTTGGAACTAGGAGTATGGGATTCTCTGATGCAGTGAAGCTGTCCTAGGGTTTGGGCCACATAAGCCTGTGATTCTCCATCTGGTGGGAAAGCCAGGATGAGCCACTGTTCCTTTTGGCTGCCCCAACGACCTCTCTTGGTGATTCTCTAGGCCATAAAACTGTTCAGTTGTCAGCCTGCTTATGCCAATAATTACTACATTTTCTCCTTTTTGCCAAATCTCATAGAAGAAGCACTAATGCATCTCTGCAGGAAAATTCATCTCTTATCTGAGATAGAGCAAAAATTAAAAAATTAACAATTGTCACCTTCGTTAAGTCTTGAAGTAAGCTGTAAGAAAGTAGAAATTGCGTCACACATCATATGTTGTTCAAGATCTTACACAGCAACAAAACTACTGAAGAACTTTCTTGATTAAAAAATAATTCAGAAGGAAAACAACACCAAAACACCCAAAAGTAGAAAACTGCATTTATTGCTTTAAGAATTCTTTTCCTGATGTGAGAAAGCATTTTAATTTGATGCAATCACATTTGTCATTTCTTGTTTTTATTTCCAGGGCAATTGGAGTTCTGTTCACAAATAACTACCTTCGACCTTACCTTCAAGTATTTTCCTTAGTTTTCTTAATGTAGTTTCAAAGTTTCAAGTTGCTCATTATTATCATTAATCCAATTTGGATATTGAATTTTCTTATTGGTGAGACTAGGGAAGTGGATACAGTCTTCCATATGTAGATATCCAGTGTTCCCAACACCAATTTTTGAAGAGAGTCTCTTTTTGCCAGTGTATGTTTTTCATGTCTTTGGTAAAAACCAAATGGCTATAGCTATGTGGGCTTACTTCTGGATCTTCTCTTCTGTTTCCTTGGTATTCAGGTAGCTCATGCATTCTGGTTAATGAAATCCTAGTGAAATTAATTATAGTAAAATGACTAGGTATCACTGAAAGAGCTGATTGCCTGGAGGAGCTTTTTACTCTAGGGAAAGTTTTCCACACAAGTTCACTCTCACATTCCTGCAAACATTCCATGGATGTTTAGCCAATTCTTGAAATGATCTGTGTGTCTTTCCTATTACCCTGACACAAAACTTCATGTCCAGTGTGCTAATCTCTTTGAAATGAGGCCTGCCTAAGCCTTAACTTTCCACAGGCTCTTCCTACCAAACGGCCTTTGTTCCGAGTGTTTCTGGTCTACATTTTGTTCTTGACTTTCACTGTAAATCTAGCTCAAAGAAGCTAGCAATAATTGTCTTGGGGTTGGATTTCCTTAAAATTTACTTTGACAGGTTAGTCCATAGTGTTTTAATTCAGTCTCCTACAAAATATTGTGCCATGGACAAAAGATGGAGAAGTTATTGGCTATAATACAACATTAATATATATATATACATATGTATACACATATATATGAAAACAAATCAGGTATTATGCAAGTGGTAAAAATGAATCAACTTAAGATAATAGATTCTATAAAAAGCTCACATATAATTATTTTAGAATGAGTAGGTCACAGTTCAACACAGTAAGCACCAGGATCTGGGAACTTGAGAGACAGGTTGTGGGCAAAGTGGTGAATGGTAAAGGAATGACAGAAGAAATTGGGAGTAGTCAAGAATTCATTGTATATATCACAAAATTAAGAAAGGAAAGTGGTGAGTCAAAGGAGATAAGAATGTTGAAGTGCATGACACTGATTAAAATGCTTGTATTCCTAAACTGCTTTATGGATCAACACTTCTTTTGTATGACTACTTTAAAATGCAAAAAATGAAATATTAAAAACGTCTTCTACAATCAAATGTTCTCCATGGAGAAACACATTTCTTGGCAGACATATGTATATCTCTCTTGTTTGATCTGAGACCCTGTGAATGTTCCTTCTATTTTGAGTTACTGATTGAGCCAGTCTTGCAGCTGTGCCCAGCCTAGACCAGACCCTGCTGATTTGCATGTGCATGGAGCACAGCCCACTGCCCTGGACACTTCTTTATAGACTGCTCACAGACTGTGCAGGGGTCAGGTTCAGTCAGCACACAGCATGAACATGAGGGCCCCTGCTCAGCTCCTGGGGCTCCTGATGCTCTGGCTCCCAGGTAAGGAAGGATAGCACTGCAGGTACATCAAGCTCATTAGGTTTGATCATTGATGTCTTATATATGTGAGATCCTCTTACCAAATACTTAGTTGTGTGGATATTTGTTATATTTCTTTTGCCAGGTGCCAGTTGTGACATCCAGATGACCCAGTCTCAATCCTCCCTGTCTGCATCCCTTGGAGACAGTGTTTCCATCACTTGCAGAGCCAGTCAGGGCATTAGCAGTTGGTTAGCCTGGTATCAACAGAAACCAGGAAAAGCACCAAAGCTCCTGATCTATGGTGCATCCAATTTGGCTACTGGGGTCCCATCCAGGTTCAGTGGCAGTGGATCTGGGACAGAGTTCACTCTTACCATCAGCAGCCTGCAGCAAGACGATATTGCCATATATTATTGTCAGCAGTATAGCAGTTTACCTCCCACAGTGATACAAGTCATAACAAAAACCTCCAGGGAAGCAGAAGTGAGAGGCTGGGCTGCCCCAGCTTCTCCTGCTGTGACTGAACCTGTTGACAGTTCTTCTCAAATGCAGACAGGATCTGAAAGTCTATTGGAGATTTTGGTTAAAGGGATCAAGAACCATCCTCTGTCCTTTGTCACTCACCTGTTCATTCCTAGCAGAACAGATATGGCAAGGCTTCTTTGAGGCATGCAAAGAGTCTGGGATATAGAACAGTTTAGAATTGCTTGTAGACACTCAATAATAAAAGCATGTGTTAATGTGTGTTTTAAATACAGGGCTTTTTCATACAGAAAATAATGCCTAAGATGCAGTCTTTCCAAGCCTGAGCTACAGTACTGAAAAAACCTGAAAATTAAAATACAAAGGTTTTCTTGATTTCCTACAGACACCACGTATCACCTACCAGTCACAATAAGTGCTGCCTAACATAGGTCCTCTGCCCTGACTAATGAATGAGCCCATGGCATGAAGTCTTTAGGTTTTCAGGTTTTAGTAGTTCCTATTGATGATGTTCCAGTCCATAGTAGATCACCTTCTCCTCCTCCTCCTCCTCCTTTTTTAAATCTCAAAGCATTCCTCATGCTGAAACATTCCAGAAAAACACAGAGAGAAAAATGGTTGTAAAATTAACTGCAATTGATGAGATGATGTCAGAGAGCAGATAGGTGACAGCTGAGTGTCACCCCTTGTCCTGATTAGCTATCTCAACAAATAGACTAAAAAATAACAATAGCAGTTTGTACTCCACTCTGTTGCTTTGCTATAAGAAGTAAGTCATTGTGGTTAGGTACATCTATCAGTGTCATTTTGTCTATCTATGTTTTAGTGCATACAGCATCTATGATGGTTTAATATCTGCAGTTTTATATTTTTAAAGACAGAACATAAAGTCAGTAGACATAATAACCAATTCTGGACCTCAGATTTTCATGACTATTAAGCCTGAACAATTTCCATAGACAATATATTATAATATTTTCAATTTTATAAATTACTTTATCAGTTTTAGTTGCCTTGCATTGAGTCCTTAGGCTAACCACAAGAAAATTGTAATCTTAAGATTACATTTCAGATTGAAAACAAAAAAATGCTCTCTTTATTTGTACTTTTAATCCAGACCTATTTTTAGACTTTAATGTTTTCTGTTCAAATTTTACATCAAATAAAAATATGCTTCTATTACATTTGTAAACATCATGTCTTTCTTGTCATTCTTGACTTCCTACATTTGGAAAATCTCAATATGTTTGGAAGCAGGAGGGCATGTTGGACATTGCTGTCTTTTATATAACCTGAGGGCTCCAAGTTACTGAGTGTATTGATGTGTCACCTAGTATTATGTTTGCTAGACATTTTTGTTATGTGTGAATGTCCAAATAACTGTATCTAGAGGGCCCAAAAAAGTGCCTTGGTTCACTAATACTCTTGCTTGCCCTCTTTCCCAAGCCAGGCAATATCATGCTACAGGCACCAGTCCAAAACTTATTCCCAGCTTGGACCTTGCACAGATACCTCAACTCAGCTTCTTCCTTTGTGACCTTATGTCCCACCATTTACCCACTATTCCACTAGACAATGCCAAAATTCTTTCATAACCATGAGAAGAATACAGATTATTTTCCCTTTTCAGGTTTTTAAAGTTTTCATCATAGAGGTACTTCACTTCTTTGCTATTGTTTCTAACACTGATAAGATGATTTCTTTGTTGCGTTGTATGTTCCTCCCCTATGGTGTAACCCCTGTTTTCACTGTATTTGATGTTGGTATAATTTGGGGAGGGGAAGGGAAAAAACAATTTGTTTAAACAGGGATACAGGTGGATCCATTGCAACAATGAGACGTACAAAACGTTATATCGAAAAGCAAACTTTACAACTTTGGTCAGGGTGGGGGGGAGGATCAGGTGGGGGGACAAAAGAGATGGGAAGGGGAAACAAAGGAGGAGGCAACAATGCTTGATAAGAAATGTACTCATAAGGGGAAGAACAAGTCGTTTAAATAGGGATACAGGTGGACCCATTGCAACAATGAGAAGTACAAATCGTTACGTCAAAAACGAACATTACAACGTTGGTGGCAGGGGCAGAGAGGATTCTGGGGGGGGCGCGGGGGGGGTAGGATGGGAAGGGATGGGAAGGGGAAACAAAGGAGGAAACTACAATGCTTGACAAGAAATGTACTCATTATCTTGCCCATGTAATTGTAACCCCTCTGTACAGTATTTTCACAATAAAAAAATAAAAATTAAAAAAAAGAAATGTACTCATTACCTTGCTCATGTAATTGTAAGTCCCCTGTATGGTATTTTCACAATAAAAATTACTAATAAAAAAGAATACAGGTTGTAAGCAAGCAATGAGATTTTAGCTTTTACTATAGCCTTCCACATTGCATATTGTTTAAAATTATAAACCTGTGTTGATGTTCAGCCTCTCATCATCCACTCTTTCTCACACCATTTTTTCCTTTTTGAATCTTGCATAACAGCACCCAATAAGGAATCGCAGCAGTGCTCCTAGCTCACTGAAACTTCTCTGTCTCCACGTCTAGGACTCTTTGACAGACATAGGAATAAAATATCTCTAAAGTATTTCATTTTTAACAAGAAAAATAGCCAAGCCCCAAGGTAAAGCAGGTCTTCTTTGAGTAATTAATCCTGCAATTCTCAATTGTAAACTATACAGATGCATACAACTTAGGTATTATGTGTGTGTCTATATATATACTATATAATAATATATAATTATAAGTTCAAGTGAGGATGGGCATATACACACACACACACGCACACATACACACACACACAAACATATATATAGTCATTTTAATTCAGGTAATTTATGTTACGTTTAATTTAGGTAATTTGTTATGACTCAATTTACCAATGTTGGAGAAAAGCTATCATCTTACAAACATTGACATACAAAGTATATTTTTTACTAGCATGTATATCAAAATAATAAGAAACTTTGAGGAAAATCCTCTTATTCAGCCTCTAGATTGATCAGAGTGATTTTTCATTATATGAGCTAAGCTTTTTTTTTTCTTCAGTCAGGAGGCTAGAACTCTGGGCCTGGGTGCTATCCCTCAGCTCTTTAGCTCAAGTTGAACTCTCTACCACTTGAGCCACAGCAACACTTCAGGTTTTCTGGTGGTTTGTTGGAGCTTAGAGTCTCCTGCCTGGCTTGGCTTTAAACCTCCATCCTCAGATCTCAGCCTTCTTCGTAGCTAGGATTACAGGAGTGAGCCATGGGTGCCTGGCTATGAGCTAAGTTTTGAGAAGAATAAGCAATCCAAGTGTAGGGTTTCTTTCTTTCTAGTCCTTTAGATAGAAGATCATTTCATCTGCACATAAGGATACTTTGAGTTCTTCTTTCCCTATGGCAATCCAGTGTATGTCTTTTCTTGCTTCATTGCTAGGAATTCAAGAATTATATTTGGAAGGAATAGAGAGAATGGATATCCTTGCCTTGTTCCTGATTTTAGAGAAAGTGGTTTTAATTTTTCACCACTTATTATGATATTAGCTGTTAGTCTGTTGCACATAGCTGTGCTGTCCCTCAGCTCTTCAGCTCAAGGCTAGCGCTCTACCTCTTGAGCCACAGCGCCACTTCCAGCTTTTCTTTTTACTTATGTGGTGCTGAGGAACCGAACCCAGGACCTCATGCTTGCAAGGCATGCACTCTACTGCTGAGCTACCTTCCCAGCTCAGTACATAGCTTTTCTTATTCAGAGGTAAGTTCCTTCTCTTCCTAGCTTGTCTAACATTTTAACATAAATGGATTATATTGATGGCTTTTTTCTGCATCTTTTGAGATTATCATGCAGCTATAGCCTTTGGTTCTGTTAATGTGATGTATCATGTTTATTGATTTGCATATGTTAAACCAGCTTTCCATCTCTGTGATAGATGTCATTTGATCATAGGGTATGATTTTTTGATTAGTTGCTAAATCTTGTAAATAATATTTTATTGAAGAGATTTGCATCTATATTCAACAGAGGATTGATTTATGATTGTCTTTCTTCCTTAGATCCCTACCTGATTGGGGGATGAGTGTATTACTATCTTCCTAAAACAAGTTAAGAATTGATCTTTCTTATTTTATTTCTAGAAAATTTTGAAGAGTACCGACATCAGTTCAGCTTCAAAATCTTATAGAATTCAGATGTGAATCCATTGTGAAATGGACATTTCCTTGTTTGAAGACCTCTGAATACTTCCTCAATCTTCTTTTGTGTTATGGACCTGTTTAAGTGATTTATATATTCTAGGTTAAGCTTAAGCAGTTTGTATACTTCTGGAAATTTATCCATTTCTGCTGTATTTTCCATCTTATTTGAATATAGATTTTGAAAACAGTCCACCGTCATCTTTTTCTTTCTTTCTTTTCTTTTTTTCTTTTTTCCAGTAGTGGGGCCTGAACTCTGGACCTGGGCGCTGTCCCTCAGCTCTTCAGCTCAAGGTTAGCACTCTCCCACTTGAGCCACAGCGCAACTTCTGGCTTTTTCTGCTTATGTGGTCCTGAGAAATCGAACCCATGCTCTTATGTATGTAAGGCAAGCACTCTACTACTGAACATCCTTCCCAGCCCTATATCTTTTAGATTTCTTGCATGTTTGTTGTAATGTTTCTTTTGGCATTACTAATTTGGTTGATTTGAATTTCTTCTCACTTCTTTTTTTACATGAAATTACTGGTGATCTGTCACTTTTATTCTTTTTTGAATGAATTACCTATTTGTTTCATTGATTATTTATTTTTATTTTCTGTACATTTTTTATTGTAAAAATGCTGTACAGAGGGGTTACAGTTATATGAGCATGGTAATGAGTACATTTCCTATTGAACATTGTTGCCTCCTCCTTTGTTTTTTCTCCTACCATCCCTTCCCTCCCACCTCTACAACTACACCCCAAACCCCCAGCCAAAGTTGTAAAGTTTGTTTTCGGCATAGTGTTTGTACATCTCATTTTTACAGTGGGTGAACCTGTAGCCC